GGATACCGCAAGGGTCAATAACCTTAACAATTCAAATACTGAAAACAAAAGAGAAGAGCTTTGCAGGAGGGTGTGAATGGGGTCAACCGACTAGCGACAAAGGGCGAAAAATATTACTGACTACCGACAAAACGAGTAAAATATTACCGACTACCGACAGGAAAAATATTAACCGACTACCGACTTAGGCTGACATTATCAATATTTGTTTTTTTGAAAAAAGGGCATTTTGCATTTTTTTTCCTAGCCGTTAGGAAGTAACCTCTTTAAATTTATGGCTAATTAGATGGTCTAACAGAAAGAACTTCCTCTTTTGTCGATAAGGGTACATTACTACAACCAATATCATAATCACAGAAGCCACACCTTAAAGATGCTACCGACTTTATAAATTTTATTGAAAAGACAAAGGTGGAAAAACTCAGCGTTTCTTGTTTCGGTCCGAGAAATGCTTAGAATAATCCTTAAAGAAAATTCTTTCCAGCTCAATGAAAAGCACTATATAGTAAAAAACCACGGTACCGCGATGAGCACATACAGCAGTTTCCTTTCCAACATTTTCATGGCTGCATACATTGAAACACAAAGTTAAGCAAAACCGTCTTTAAACCAACTGTTTGAAAAAGCTACATAGATAATACTTTTTCCCTATGGGACATAAGTAAACCAGACATGGTAGATTTCTTCAAATTCACGGATCAAGTAAGCTTACTTCACTCTACCGCTCTACTGGCAATAAAATTTACGGCCGAAATATCTGACATTGAGACAATCTTTTTAGACCCTGTTGTATACCAAGGCGCAACATTCAACGAAAAATGAGAAAAAGCTATCATTGACGTAAAGACGCATTTTAAACGGAAACCTTCCAGTATATACATTTTCACCTCTTACCACCCACCAATTGTTAAAATAAATTTGACAAACAGGAAGCCTTGAGAATCCTACGAACAAACTCCTCTGAGGAAGTATTTCAGATTTCGAAAAGCGGTTGATGGACAGAGGCTGGCCACACAATTTTGAAATAAAAGTTGCTATTAGAAGTAAAACTCACAGAAGGAAAGCAGCGCTCTTGAAACAAAACAACAAGGAAGAAAAAGAAATATTGTCTTTCGTGACACAATACAAGCCCTTCAGTGTCTATTATGAAAGAAGCTTTAATGAAAAAGTGTAATCTCATACAAAACCAAACACTACCTTGGCAACTTAACCCTCGGACGTACACGCAAAATCATACCCCCCACCATGGTACAAGAGGAGGGTACACCGTAATTTTTAGGGAGTTATTATAACTCCAAAAATGGAGTAAAAATTTTAGGTACAGGATAACCCCTTTTTTGGGGTTGTTTTAACTCCTAATTTAACTCCGAATTTGGGGCCATTTTTACTCCTGAAATAGAGTTCTTTTTACTCCCAGTCTGGAGTTAAAATAACTCCGAAATGGGGTTACTTTTACTCCTTACATGGGTTGTTTTTACTCTTTTTGGAGTTAATTTAACTCTGAAAGTGGAGTAAAAATTTTAGGTACAGGATAACTCCTTTTTTGGGGTTATTTTAACTCCTCAATATCTGGGGTCACTTTTACTCCTGAAAAAGAGTTCTTTAAACTCCTTTTTGGAGTTAAAATAACTCCACCAAAAATAACTCCACTGTAAGGAGTTAAATTAGCCCCACTAGAGGAGTTATTATAACTCCCTGAAAATTACAGTGTAGATGGAACCCCTCCCCAGAGTTTTTGATTTTGCCTTCACTGAAAAGCCTTTGATCTTCTTAACAACATGAGGTATATTTTATGAATGGTGGCGTTGCTGGAGGCCTGTTACGTCACCAACAATGGTCGCCATCTTTGCCGCCATCTTGGATTTTACCAAGAATTAGACTGATCAGGTTAAAACAGCGAGAAATGGTAATTGCTTGACAAGAATAATAACACATAAATAAGCACTTTGCATGATTTTAGCTGCAAGATTTTTCTTTTATTGTTGAAAAAAGTTGAAAAAGACACTCATTTTCACTCAAAATGGCTTGACCACCTGCCACTTCATACTCGTAATCATAGAAACTGATAATCACTAAACTTGTCTCAAAATGCGTGCGAGGGATAAACGAACATCTACTGAAAACGTCAGGTGCTGATGTTTTATCCTCTTGGAAAAATCCCAGAAAAACCTAAAGGGTGGGTGGTATCCACCCCCCACCCCTTGTACGTCCCAGGGGTAAAGTGTTATTTTTTTGAGAAAGGAAAATGATGGCAAAGGACATGCTTGTTAGAGCCAAAACATTAAAGGTATAGATGTGCAGCCTGTCACCCCTTGCAGTTTTTCACTAAGAATAATTTAAGCCAGTATCCAAAAGGCTGGAGTCCATTAATTAATTAACTGCTTTTTACTGTGCTCTGTAATCGACAGGGAAACCAAGTTCGCATTTACAATAAAAGTTTTGGTGATTTTATCTGTACTCATGATATTCATTTGGCAAACAATGGTGAAATAAACGATCATGTTGCATAAACAAACAAGAGTTAATGAAGTTCATTTGTACAAGTTTTACTCTTTCCTTAGGGATCAAAGTCTTGAAACTGGGTGAAATACATAAACATATTACTAATTAACAAGCGTTTTTACTTATTAACTGAGATTTTCCGACAACCGACAAAAATCAAAAAGTTTAACCGACTACCGACAAAGATCGAAAATTTTAACCGACTACCGACAAAGTAATTGAATTTTAACCGACAGCCGACAAGTCGACCCCCCCATTCAGACCCTCTTGCAGAGCTCTGCTAACCAATCAAGCTTGCAATCTCTTTGAAAGGAAATAATGGCGACAATATACATGCTATCGGTTTCCAGGAGAGGACCTCGAGTCTCGCTTCATCCATTCAGACGAGAAGTGATTCCTGTTAAACTGGCTAATAAAGAAATATTATTTGAATATTTGCCTGTGAACAGAATCCCCCCGCTTAAGCTTAATTGTACTGCAAGCTAGTTCCAGTTCATAGCTAAGACTCCATTTAATGTGTTTGACTAATCAATTATAACTGAAATGCAGCGAATACGAAGATCTTGGTACTGAAATATTTACGTTTACACTTCTTGCCATCTCTCTTGTAACCAGGTTTACAGGTGCAGATAAAAGACCCCTTAGTGTTTTTACACAGCAGATTTCTGTCACAGTTATGGGTATTACTTGTGCACTCGTCTATATCTGAAAAAAGAGAGAAACATAAATTGCGTTTCTTTTCTTCATTGTCGTTTTCTTTTCACTCTACGTTATAAAGGAAAGTGATGACTGATACGAATATTGCAGTTTTCTAAAATTGCTGAAAAATGAAAAAGATGAATGCGTTAGGCCCCGTTAATTCGAATTGAGGCCGATCCACATTATTTAGACAGGCTGAATTGATTAGATGCCGAAATTGATTCCAGTCGAACTAAATTAAAAAGGAGAAAAATGCTCATTTCCGTCAAACTGCTTGTAACATACGTTATAATAATTTATGCATTAGGTTCGGCACACGAAAAGTTCCGTGTCTGAATCAAAGTCGCTCCAAAGTCGAAATTCCCGGCCGAGCTAAGTGGGAAGAACGGATGAGCAGTTCCAAATTGAAATAGGCGTTCCTAAGGCTCGGTTCAGAAGCCGCTCCACTAATTATGTGCAGAACCTAATTGAGTTAGGTCCGACTTTGGAGCGACGTTGGCGCGGCAACTCATTCATTCAGACGGCGTACTGTGTGTCGATCCTAACCTTTATTTCACGTATGGAGAAAGAGAAAGGCCTGGGTTCGGTACCATATTTTCACGCCATAATTGATTTCCACTTTGTAGAACACCATTCTTCTTGCTTCTGTAGATCTCTATTTTTGCCAAATTCATTTGAATCATTACATTCGTTCTTTTCTTGCTCCTCCATAACTTCTCGGAAACATGGCTCACAATATGCGACTGAACTGCCTGCTTTCCAGCCGCTTGACAGTTTGACCTTTCATCATTCTCGAAGACAGAACAAAGGATACAGAAGTATCCCTGGCACCGTAAACAAGTACATTTTGCACTCTTAAAGCAAGAGGAGCAAGATTGTTCTTCTTCACCCGCCTTTTTTCTCAATTTAGTGTTCTGGGCATGGCAACTACGTAAAAACGAGCGGTATCGTGGGAAAAATTATAAATTCAATTTATGCATGTATGTATCAGGGGCATCAAACGTCAATTTTCCGAAAATATTTGTTCGCAAGACGATTTGAGATCTAGAATTTTTGGAACATTAATTTGTTGTAAAATTTCTTGCTTGCCTGCCTCTCCTAGGATTTTCGAACATCTAAAAAGTGATATAATTTCCCATTTTTAACAGATTTTTACCCTAAAGATGTCACCTAGAATTTTCGGAAGCCCTTTTTCTGGCTGAAATTTTCGAAAAGGTAAGTTTTGATCCCTATAATTTTCGGATCACTAGACTTTCAGCTAGGAAATCCGAACAGATAAGAACTTTTTAGGGGATAAAAATATGCCTATATCTACAGTTTAAATACTAAATTACGTTTAACAATGCTATGTTTAAGTGGTTTTGGACTATATTCTCGTTGGGTGCCCCTGATGCATTAGGTTCGGCACTTAAGAGGAACGCCGTATGAATCACATGCCGCTCCAATGTCGAATAATGCGACAGACTCTGTTGACTTTCAGACGTTTCTAGCGCACCTAATTAAAACGGCCCTACCAAATTGATTCAAACGCCGCTCTTTTGCCGTACTTAATTTATCAGTTAGGTTCGGGACATGACTGGCCATGGTGCGGTGTCTGAACCGGGCCCAATTGATTAAGACGCCGAACTTTTCATGTACCTAATTTAACGTATTTGTAAATACGGTATAATGTCCTTAAAAAGATACTAAAGACACCGAAACTACTTTTTTTTATTAGGAAACAACATCTTTATTTAGTCTGTACAGTATATAAACTCGACACAGAGAAAAATTAAGTCAGAAGATGGTTAAAGCAAACTTCAGTACTCACCAACGCATTTGCGGCCATTTCCAGAGTATCCAGCTTTGCAAGTACATTTGTATGAGCCCACGGTATTCTGGCAAGCAGCATTCACATCACATCTGAGATAATTAGTTGTGCATTCGTCAATTTCTGGAAGAAATTACGCTTCATTCAGTCAACTTCTTCTATAGTCAGTTATAACGTTCTATATGAATATTTACGGAGATTACTATATTCTCAACTTGAACTCATGAATACTCTTGAAGAGAAAAATAGAAATTATGATAAATCTAAAAACAAATTCTAGAACAAACCATTCAAGAGTTTCAGTGCTTAAGAGCCCATGACTATAAATATCGAGAATCGCTGGCCAGGCTAAAAAAATCGAAAATTCTGATAATTTGTCAGAAAAACCCCTTTGGGGAACTATCTTCGAAAAAAATATTTTTAACTTTCAAGAATCTATAGTGTTCGAGAAAACGAGGAAAAACGAAAATAGCGGTTTTTACCTAATTAATTATGCAAAAATTAGAGTAAAAATGGCCTACGTTATCGCGTCGGTCCCGAGGCAAGATTCAAAGCTATAGAACAAAAATATTTTTGTTTAAAAGCATTTTATCTTTTCTTTCTATCCATGGTACGTTTTAAACCATAAACACGATTTTGAATTTTTTACGGTTTTTTAAAAACTACCAACAAGCGCACCTTTTAAAATGGGTAAAAAATGAGCAACTTCAGAGGCAAAAAACTCACCTTGGTATGTGTGATAACTACCCAAAATGTATACTAGGACAAAGTTCAGCTCTTATATTAATAGAATGTGAAATAAAAAATCTGGGTACTCCAGATTCGTCTTTACAAAATAAACAGTTTCGTGACCACTAGTGGCAAAAGGTCACAAATTTGCATAAGACAAATTTGTAGAGAAATGATGCCGCCTGACTTCTCTTTCTAGTTTCTGTTCATGGTAAATTCGAAAAGTAGGAGAAAGGATGAAAGCGCCTTTAAATGAAGCTAAAATTAAGTAAAGGATCAGAAAAATTGATATCCCTGATAACAAATAGCTGTGAAGGTTGGTGACACAATGTGGCAATTTTGCATAATGCATCTGCATATTCCTATCGTAACTGTTAGCATCACGCAATATTTGAGGCTTAAGAATAGCATAACCAAGAGAATAGCTAATGTTAAATGTTTTGTAATTAGCATGTTAGCTCTTCTTAATTGCACATTACAAAATTAAGGTTGCTCACAAATTGTTGTCGGGTGTTGGAGTCTGTATTCTGCAATTGCGAGACCGTTGTCAAACTCAGCACAGTCACACTTTATTTTTACCGGTACGATAAAAAATTGTGAGCTTATGAAGTGTGTAAAGAAATATTATTCATGTTAGATGACTTAACTTTACTTAATTCATCTGAATGAGTTCCGTAGCCATACATCTTTCTTGGAGTGGGCACATGCTTTTATATGGTACCGATAGTTCATTCATCAAGGCATTTTAGGGGATTTGCCATTAATACTATACATCAGACCCTAAGTTTTCAATCAATAAAAATCCGAAATAGTAAATTTTCTCAGAAGTTTTTCAAAGTTATATTTTGCTGAAATTGCCAAGTCTCGCTTATTAAAAATAACGTAAGTAAAGACAAGATTAAAGTAGTCATTGCCCCCTTTTCTCTCTTTTCTGAAATTTTTCCACCTCGTCTGTCTGCCTCTTCACTGTTCGTGCGTTCAATACTATTAAGTCCAGACATGATTTCGAACACCCAAAGATGGTCAAAGATCGCCAAGTGGACCGACCCGTAATTGTGCCATTCATTGAACGCTCAATAGAAAAAATAAATCAGATAGAGGGAGTACTGCACTGGGGTCGTTTTGGTGTTTTTTTTTTTTTTTGAACCAAGAATATCGTAAAATTCCGAAAATAAGCCCCGAGGCTTACATTTTTCAAAGGCCCTTTTTGAGGGGCTTATTTTAGGAGGGGCTTATATTCAGAGGGGCTTATCTATGGAGGGAATTTTGTGTTTCAAAATCGATTGGGCTAACCTTATAGTTAGAAGGAAGTTTACCGTTTTTGCTTTGTTTTACCTTGCATTTGAGGGCAATTTCCAAGTACAAGCCCCGAGGGGCTTATATATGGAGGGGCGATTTAACGGAAGGTTTTTTGCGTTACAAGTTTGGGGACCTATATTTGGAGGTGCTTATACAAAGGAGGGGCTTATTTTCGGAATTTTACGATATCCTTCATGAACCCATTTACCTTTCCATTTATTCACCAGGATGATGAACTGATCAAAATCAGCAAGGATGGATTTTTTCACTGGTACCTCATTCACCAAATTTTCACCTATCTTCATGTATCTTGACAGAGTTAGACACACACAAAAAAGCAACATTTGGGGTGGAAAAATCTTTCTATTCACCTTCTATTCTTTACAGATTAATTAAATGTCCCTTTCCTGAAAAGTTAGCCAGCCAAAATTCCTTGCAAAACAAAGACAGTGAGAAGACGATCAAAAGCCGAAGCAACAGAAGAAGAAAGGCAAAGGGAAAAAAGAGAGCGGGAGAGAAAGATCGATATAGTTTCGTAAGAGATGTCCAAATTTTGGCTTCTATGAACACGCCAAAAAAGCTCCTAAATTAGTGTACGTTCAATTTAGCAGTCTTGTGTTGCAAGTCTCTTTTTCAGCCATTCCCACATCATGCTAACTGGCTAGCCTCAGTAATCGGCTCCTGCTAGCCTACATAACAGGCATGCGTTTTTCAGGCGAGCGAAGGCAAGCCCGAAGCCGGAGCGAATGCGAGCGCGAACAGCGTGAGGAGCGTCATTAAGGGGTAGGTCTGGGGAGGAATGCAACAAAACAATGGTATTTGGACAGGCCGTTGTTTTTTCTGCGTCTTCCCCATCGCACTTGTCTGGCGCTGCTCACTCACTTCGCGCTTACCTTCGCTCGCCCGCAAAAACGCGAAAAAAATAAGGCCTGTTATCCAAGCTACTAACTGGTTGAAAACCGGTCCAAAAAGGCTGGGTTTTCTTTCACTAAAATTGGCCGTCAAAAAAGAGTTAAAGTAAGTTATCAACTACCCTGCGAGCAGAGGCCCTTCGATCTCCCTAGATAAGTTGGGAAGAGGAAGAGAAGGGTAGCTATCAACTAAATAATATTTCGATCGGACGTTCCGGTGTGAAGGCGCGAGCTGGGACATTGCGGGAACTGACGTTAATACTCCTGAGCAAAAGCAGACATTTCTTTGAACAAAACTCTGGACTGTTGTAAACTGAAAATTGTAGTCAAGTTACGCTTTTACTCTGCGTCACCTTACTGCCCGGTTAGTAAATGGTACTTACGTCGATACGAGTTCGTTGCCGCATACTGCGATATGCCAGGGGCGTCAAGGATGACCTTTCTAATACTTCTCTTTTCAAGATGATGCTACGTTTTGCAAGCACTCGACATGGGTGGGAGTTGATTAGAGCAGCTCAAAAGAGGTGAACAAGGAGTCTTATCTCCCATGGACAAATCCTAGTCGCATCGTCGTGAAAGGGATTTACTCTGTTGGAGTACAGTTGAACCTCCATGTGCGACAACCTCCCTTAAGCGACCACCTATCCAAAACACCAAAACCCACCCAGTTTAAGTCTTCCAGCTGGAATCTCTCCTGCGAGCGCCAGCGACCACTAATTGGGGCTGACGGTTTAATTATTTTGCAATGTTTTTAAACTCTTGTAAGCGATCCCTTGTGGTAGAAACAACATCAACATGGAACTGCTCATATCGTAACTTGGAAATTGCATGCAATAAATTCTCTTCCTTAAAGTAGATGTGTCCGGTTTTCTTCTCAAAGAAACCTCCCGTGGTTCGATTCTGGTAAGAGACCACCTCCCGTTAGCGAACACTAAGTCTTCGCATTTTGGGTGGTCGCTTTCGGATGGTTGACTGTAGTCTCCTTTTCCAGTTCTTCGGCGGCGTCGGTTGGAACTTGCTTTGTTTCATGAGTTGCGCGTATAGATTAACACACTAAGGCGCTGCTACATTATATTTTGAAATCACTGAACAACTATCATTCTGTATTTGAAGGAAAACGCCCATTGGCAGGTGGTACAACTCCGAGATGACCTAAAAAGGGCAGTTTTTGCGGGAAAGATGTTTCGGATTCGTTTCGGAGGAGAGAAACCGCTGGACCGTATGAACTACGATGACTTAGCTGTTTCCTAGGGCCTTTGGTAGCTGCCTAATTATACCTCTATTTGTGAAAAAGTAAAAAAAAAATAAACCAAGGGACGGTTCGTTGTTTGTAATACGTAGTAAAAAAATCAGATTTCAACATCTCTGTCAAGAAAATGCTAACTTTTAGTGCGTGATTGACAGGCATGCAAAATTAGTATCCCTTCTTTCTGAAAAGAAAATAAAACGAGAAACAAATGATGTTGCGAACAACGCATTGCCTGTTCAAAACAAAGTTTCTATAAAATTTCATAAGGAGAAAAAATCAATAAAAGAAGGCGGAGCTGCTCGAGACGTCGTTGCGTGACATTGTTACTCTAACTGTTAGTTTATGACTTCCTCGCACGAGTCGAAGTGTATCCCGTTCGCAAAAAACCTGCTTCAAAATGAAATTTCAAGGAAAATGTACCTACCTATTTTAGATATACCAGAGGCGAATTTAAGATGATACAGATGGATGCTAATACAAGGAAGTTAGGAAAAAAAAACAGAGACATAGGATATAGTTTACATAATGGTCCGGCGCTTTTACATAACGCTTCTTCGAGTTCGTTTTTTTATTTATTTATTTATTTTTTGTGAACGGTTAATTACTCTGATATTTTAACATAAACTTTATCAAAAAACGTTTTCTTGCTTCGTGATGTTTCCGAACATCACACACTGACCCTGAATTGAAACAAAACCGGCTGCCGCAACATTTCTTTACAAATTTGACTTATGCAAATTTGTGACCTTTTGCCACTGGTGGTCACGAAACTGTTTATTTGTAAAGACGAATCTGGAGTACCCAGATTTTTTATTTGATATTCTGTTAATATAAGAGCTGAACTTTGTCCTAGTATACATTTTGGGTAGGTATCACACATACCAAGGTGAGTTTTTTGCCTCTGAAGTTGCTCATTTTTTACCCATTTTAAAAAGTGCGCTTGTTGGTAGTTTTTAAAAAACCGTAGAAAATTCAAAATCGTGTTTATGGTTTAAAACATACCATGGATAGAAAGAAAAGATAAAATTCTTTTAAACAAAAATATTTCTGTTTTATAGCTTTTAATCTTGCCTCGGTACCGACGCGATAAAGTAGACCATTTTTACTCTAGTTTTTGCATAATTAATTAGGTAAAAAACCGCTATTTTCGTTTTTCCTCATTTTCTCGAACACTACAGATTCTTGAAAGTTAAAAATATTTTTTTCGAAGATAGTTCCCCAAAGGGGTTTTTCTGACGAATTATCAGAATTTTCGATTTTTTTTAGCCTGGCCAGCGATTCTCGATATTTATAGTCATGGGCTCTTAAGTCTTCGGAAATTTTATAGTTTAGGTTACACAGCACACACTTACAAACACCACCTCCATTGCACCCGTTCACCTTTTTCTTTCCTTATTATTTCAAAACCGGGTAAGTATAATTTCGTTTCATTGATAGAGTATATCAATTTCAGAGTTAGACATAACTTCTCGAAGCTGGTCAATATGCGCTAACAAGCTATTTATGTTACCACCGTTTTCTTTGATACGCGGCTTTCGAAAACAAAACACCCGCGGAAACGTTTCCAAAATTTCCGTCAATCATGCATGTTATCGACAGATCGGATCGAAATCCACCAATCACAACCACTAGTGTTACCGTCTGACCTTCTTTACGTCATGCTAGCGGGCTGTGATTGGTGGAGTTCGATCCGATCTGTCGATAACATGCATGATTGACGGAAATTTTGGAAACGTTTCCGCGGGTGTTTTGTTTTCGAAAGTCGCGTATCAACGAAAACGGTGGTAAGAGACGCCATCACCAAGCCTCGGCCGAAGGAGTTGTTATCGATATTATAAGACTTACCCCGTGTCGTAGCATGGCACTTATTATCCTTCAGCACTTGTCTTTCAGGCTCCCAAACGGCAGTATCCTAATCCTCATGCTTAACAAATTTTTAAAAATTACGAGCAAAATGAGATGTTCCTAATTTTATTTAAATGAAGGCCATTATGATTGAGATGCCGTTCTACAGTAATGTTGGAGTGGTCAATCAACTTCTGTTGGTTTTTCTCACCAAAACCTGGCATTAATTAATATATTCAGTTACAGTTATTTTGTGAACAACAAAAAAAGAAAAGATTGTAAACCATCAGGAAGCTCCAAGCTTAAACCGAAGTAGCGTTGTTTTTATCTTCGAAGTTTGCCGGATTTCATAACCTGCCCGTTCTACTGACTACGTCCTACATTTCTTCAAGAAACATTTGACAAGCTATATCAAACACTCGACCTAGTGTTTTCACCGCACAACTAGACACCTCAAAGACTATCTAAAAAAACGGCCTACCATGCCTCCTTTTGACGCATTAGGTTGAGCAGTTCCAAATTGAAATAGGCGTTCGTTCCTAAGGCCCGGTTCAGAAGCCGCTCCACTAATTATGTGCAGAACCTAATTGAATTAGGTCCGACTTTAGAGCGACGTCGGCGCGGCAACTGATTCAGACGGTGTACCGTGTGTCGATCCTAACCTTTATTACTGGGCTGCCTGTGCGCCCAGTCATAAAATGGGCTTTCGGTCGTCGGTGTCGAAAAGTGGTCTCCCGGGGGAGGGAAGACACGAGGGTCTGGTACCGAGAAACGATGTTCTCACAAATGGTTTCATATGAGTTTCTCTTGCACGAACCCTTGCACGGATACTTTTTGTACCTCGTTTGCGCTCCCCCTGAAAAACCCACAAAGCGTTGCGAACCTGAATAAGGCTATTTGCGTTGTTCGAAGCGATTCGATCATGAGAGTCACTCTATAATTTTTTTATTGTTCGAGTTTAAGTCAGTTAGATAATGTTGGCGCTGGGAAACTCAGAGAAATGCTCGCGTTGCATTCAAACCGACACGCTGTTCACGGTAGGTTCACACTAAAAGATGACTGTGAGCGTCAGGTTTGGAACGCCGTGGCCGCTTCGTGAACTGAAAGAGAGAATTATCGATCGATGTAGTACATGAGCAATTAAGAAGCACAATTTATGAGCAAGGTATTTCACCAGTTGACGACACTATGGCTGAAGACTTGATTCTAAGCCTTCGTAGTCAGTGAAGCGAACAACTCAGTTGCCGATCGCGCGATGAATGGCACTACGCACGTCTATGAGCGAGGGACCTGACAACTTTGCCATGTTAGAAGACTGGCTTTTCCTTTAAATATTTCCTTCTATTTAATGCAACACACGCCACTTTGGAGGTCTAAATTTCGGATACTGAGGATAAAGAAGACACGGACAAAAATAGGGACTCTGAGAATTTCGCGCACAATGCACAAGTTTAAGGTGGCTCGATACAGTTTTTCAGGGTCAATACCTCCCAAGTTTGAGCATAAACTACGTCGCCAAAATCGAAGTTTTGGAAAAATTGCCACCACAGTTGTATTAGATAAAGATGAAAATTTGTTATGATCAGGGTTGCAACGGCATCGGAGTTGCCATAGCAACGAAATGACGCTATTACCTATTTTACTTGCAGCAGTATATCTCGGCACTGGGAACTGTTCTTCGAAAATCATTCACGAGAGCTTATTCCTCCAATAGCAGCCTCGATGTTCGTGAAGTTTAAGCGAAATCTGTAAGAGCGTTATCGAGATATTTTGGGATAAAGTTTTTATTGTTAGAAACACAGTAAAAAATGGACAATATTGTTGTTTGGCCGTTATCTGTAGAAAATGAAGCGCTTTCGACATGAAATTTCACCTCATAGTAGTTTCAATCTTTTTAAAAGCGTGTGTGAAAGATCATGGGAGATAGCTCCAGCCGATTGCTAGAAAGAAGGGTTTGATTAGTATGTATCGAAGGACTCGGTTTTGTAAACATTTTGGTCTACTTTAACAAATTAGCGAATAATTTTTAAACCGCTCGATAGATTTTTTTAAAAATTTAAGATTCTTGAGATTAACCTTCCTTTTATATGACCTTTTAGTTTCAAGATTATTGATACATTGTAAGACAGTAAAATAAGGGCTACAATTCGTTACTTTTTTATCGGAAGTTTCGTCATTACAAATGAAAGCCTCTAATTATTCAAGGCATTGTCTCCAAGTTTCATTTTCACGTGAACAGCAGTAACTAACAATGCATTTGAAATATGCTAAAATGCTAGCTATTGTTGTGCACGAATATGAAACTTGGACACAATACCCTGAATAATGAGAGGCTCGCACTTGTAAACACAAACTTTCTGCCAAAATATTAGCAAACTGTAGCCCTTATTTTACTGCCTTACAATATATCAATAATCTTGAAACTAAAAGGTCATATAAAAGGAAGGTTAATCTCAAGAATCTTAAATTTTTAAAAAAATCTATCGAGCGGTTTAAAAATTATTCGCTAATTTGTTAACGTAGACCAAAATGTTTACAAAACCGCTAACAAGAGCGCCTCGATACATATTAATCAAATCCTTCTTTCTAGCAATCGGCTAGAGCTATCTCCTTGATCTTTTACACACGTTTTTAAAAAGATTGAACCTACTATGAGGTGAAATTGCATGTCAAAAGCGCTTGGTTTTCTACAGATAACAGCCGAACACCAAGATTGTCCATTTTTTACCGTATTTCTAAGCACAAAATCTTTATCCCAAAGTATTTCTATAACGCTCTTACAGATTTCGCTTAAACTTCACGAACATCGAGGCTGCTATTGGAGGAATAAGCTACCGTGAATGATTTTCGAAGAACAGTTCTCAGTGCCGAGATATACTGCTGCAATTAAAATAGGTAATAGCGTCATTTCGTTGCTATGGCAACTCCGATGCCGTTGTAACCCTGATCGTAAGAAATTTTCATCTTCACGTAATACAACTGTGGTGGCAATTTTTCCAAAACATTGTTTATGGCGACGTAGTTTATGCTCAAACTTGGTAGGTATTGACCGTGAAAAACTATATCGAGCCACCTTAAAGCTTCACCAGAACATCCCATCCGGGAGCTTCACAGAGAGCGACTTGAGGAAAATAGGAGCTATTACTGACAAGGTTTGGTGACTGAGTAGAGCATACAAGTGTAGCCCACGTCGAGGTTTCAGGGGGTTTGCTTTTGTTTGTATTTTTATCTTGCTAAGCTTTTATCAATAAATTTGTACATGATCTTGTGATCACAATTCTGTGTTTTCGCCCATTCAGCGAGCACTCTATATTGATGTCAGCATTAGCGAGTTTCAGAAACATGCCTTTGAAAGTTTTTTAGGTCTCGTGATGTTTCTTGATATTTCTTTTACCATTTTATGAAGATGTTAACTGAAGTCACCGAAAAATGGAAACTTAAAAAAGCGTGTAATCCATTTATCTCGAAACATAACACACATGACTTATACGACCTTTATTTTCGTAAAGGTGTTTTGAATACGAACGAACACAGTCAATGTGAGGGGCAAAAACAGCATTAATATAAATGAACCATAGGGTTTTAACTAATATAAGGGTCAATTATTGTGCATTGAGATGAATCGCTTGAAAAGAGAGACTTCGCTTGAAGATGTGATCAGAAGTAAACAAAGGCATAATAGTGCGTCACGTTCAGTCTTTTTAATATCCAAGGAGTCACTGTGAATAGTGTTTCCATATTGTTTAGCTGACCCAAAAACTTCGGACGAGTTATAAAGCGGCATAGTTATCTTCCATGAAGAAAAGTTCGTCTTGGGTGAGACAAAAAGAACTGGAGCGAATTTTTAACTCGCATCGGTATCAGGTAAAAAATATGTTATCGATCGTTTCATCTATTTACATTGTTTGAAGTGCGTGCTGGTGAACGCAACATGCGAGCAAGAAGTCTTTAAACTTTTTTAGGTCTCAAAATGCAAAGGATTTTATTCCTTTAAGTTAGAGAAAAATGCCATGAGGAAAATCTTAAAACTGAATATTTTTCTTCTTGTGGAAAAAATAGTGCGTTTTCTTGTAGACTGTGGACCGCAAATTAGGATCGCACTTTTCACAAACATGCGAATTCCGAAGTTCAGAAGCCAACCGACGATTGCGTTTTTCGCTGCTGTCAATCATCTTAACTGACCTCTTAGGAAACAAAACTCTACTTCACGGGTTCAAAAGGTCATGGTTTGTGATTTCTGGATTTGAATCCGTTTTGTGTGTTTCTCTGTTTCAAAGTTCGTTGCTTTTGATCGTAATTATGATTGACGGCAGCGATAAACACAATTGTGAAGGTGGCTTTTGAACTTTAGAGTTCGCATGTTTGTGAAAAGCGCAGTAAAGTCTCCGTGCAGTCAGTGAGGCCCCTGGATCAGGCGGAATCAATGGGCAGTTAACTGTCTGTTTTAGTATACTTCTGGTTTTCATATAATACAATATTTCTGTCTAGTGTAAATCAGCTCATTATACTCGTAGAACGACAACAATTTTTGGAATTTCCAGTTACGTCACGTTATACTGTCACGCTATATTTTGGGGCACAGAGGGATTAGGGGAGGGGTACGTGAAAATAATGCAAATTGTTTCCTGCTTAGAATTAATGGCTAACTTGTCTATTTTATTCATAGTGGTGGAATTTAAAAGTTACTGTACAGCCCCCACTTAAAAATGGTACTCTTTTTTTTCGGTTACGAAAGTCTTTCAAAAGGGTACAATGTTTTGAATGAGTTTATGTTTCAGTCTCACATGAGGTTCTGTCGCATGCAATGGTTGCCGACAAGGTTTTATGGTAGCCTGAGTGTGTATAGCCGCCCCCTCCCCTCAGAAAAAATAGCCCCTTGGCAGCCCAGTTAAAAATCGCCATTCGGCGATTCTTGTTTCATGTATGAAATATGGCCTGGGTTCGATACCATATTTGCCATTGATTTCCACTTTGTAGAACACCATTCTTCTTGCTTCTGTAGATCTCTTTTTTTGCCAAATTCATTAGAATCATTACATTCGATCTTTTCTTGCTCCTCCATAACTTCTCGGAAACATGGCTCACAATATGCGACTGAACTGCCTGCTTTCCAGCCGCTTGACAGTTTGACCTTTCATCATTCTCGAAGACAGAACAAAGGATACAGAAGTATCCCTGGCACCGTAAACAAGTATATTTTGCACTCTTAAAGCAAGAGGAGCAAGATTGTTCTTTTTCACCTGCCTTTTTTCTCAATTTAGTGTTCTGGGCATGGCAACTACGTAAAAACGAGCGGTATTGTGGGAAAAATTATAAATTCAATGTATGCATGTATGCATTAGGTTCGGCACTTGAGAGGAGCGCCATATGAATCACATGCCGCTCCAATGTCGAATAATGCGACAGACTCTGTCGAACTTGACGTTTCTACCGGACCTAATTAAAACGGCCATACCAAATTGATTCAAACGCCGCTCTTTTGCCGTACTTATTTTATCAGTTAGGTTCGGGACATGACTGGGGCGGTGTCTGAACCGGGCCCAATTGATTAAGACGCCGAACTTTTCATGTACCTAATTTAACGTATTAGGTTCGGCTCATGAAAAGTTCGGCTTCTAAACCGGGCCTATAAGAGCGCTAGAAAGATACCTTTACAGTTCTTCCCATCTCCCTTGTAACCGCGATTGCAGGTGCATGTAAAGGGCCCCTCAGTGTTCTTACATAACGCATTTCTGTCACAGTTATGGGTCTTGCTTGTGCACTCATCTATATCTGAAAACAAAGACAAAATTATGACGCCGACACGCTGTAATGCTCCAAAAACAACAAAGCAATACCTTCCCTGATATTCTATTCCCTTCCGAATTTCCTTTATTTAGACCCCCTTAGGGCTTTTCAAGTGTTGCCTCTGAAATAGTTTTTTTTAATCATATCAACCTATAATGTTATTACTGATAAAATTCTTAAAATCAAAACAAATAATTGAAGTAAACGTTTTTATTGAAGGAATGAAAATCCGTGTAAAACGTTGTTCCACACATTAGTGCAAGTATTCTTCTACTGAAATAGAGCTGCTCAAAATCCATTAAATACCCACGAAAGGTTGATGGCTTATTTTTGCCACCTTGGACTGGGATCTTGTAAGAAATCAACGACTACAAAAGGTAAATGAAAACGTAATTACAGCACTGTAAATACGGTATGATGTACTTAAAAAGATACTAAAGACACCGAAACTACTTTTTTTTATTAACAAACAACATCTTTATTTAGTCTATTATATAAACTCGACACAGTTAATTAAGTCAGAAGATGTTTAAAGGAAACTTCAGTACTCACCAACGCATTTGCGGCCATTTCCAGAGTATCCAGCTTTGCAAGTACATTTGTATTAGCCCACAAGAAATCTGGCAAGCAGCATTCACATCACATCTGTGATAGTTAGATGTGCATTCGTCAATTTCTGGAAGAAATGACGCTTCATTCAGTCACCTTGTTTTATAGTCAGTTATAACGTTCTATATGAATATTTACGGAGATTACTATATTCTCAACTTGAACTCATGAATACTCTTGAAGGAAATAAATAGAAATTAAGATAAGTCTAAAAACAAATTCTAGAACTAAACATTCAAGATTTTCAGCGCTCAAGTCTTCGCGAATTTTATAGTTTAGGTTACACAGCACACACTTACAAACACCACCTCCATTGCACCCGTTCACCTTTTTCTTTCCTTATTATTTCAAAATCGGGCAAGTGTAATTTCGTTTCATTGATGGAGAGTACATCAATTTCAGAGCTAGACATAACTTCTCGAAGCTGGTCAATATGCGCTAACAAGCTATTTATGTTAAGAGACGCCATCACCAAGCCTCGGCCGAAGGAGTTGTTATCGATATTATAAGACTTACCCCGTGTCGTAACATGACACTTATTACCCTTCAGCACTTGTCTTTCAGGCTCCCAAACGGCAGTATCCTAATCCTCAAGCTAAATAAGTTTTTAAAAATTACGAGCAAGTTGAGATGTTCCTAATTTTATTTAAATGAAGGCCATTATGATTGAGATGCCGTTCTACAGTAATGTTGGAGTGGTCAATCAACTTCCGTTGGTTTTTCTCACCAAAACCTGACATTAATTAATATATTCAGTTACAGTTATTTTGTGAACAACAAAAAAAGAAAAGATTGTGCACCATCCGGGAGCTCCAAGCATAAACTGCAGTAGCGTTGTTTTTATCTTCGAAGTTTGCCGGATTTCATAACCTGTCCGTTCTACTAACTACGTCCTACATTTCTTCAAGAAACATTTGACAAGCTATATCAAACATTCGACCTAGTGTTTTCACCCCACAACTGGACACCTCAAAGACTATCTAAAAAACCGGCCTACCATTCTTCCTTTTAAAAATCTACTTCTCCAGTGAATGGGTATTAGAGTCTCGAGTTGGAAACATGAAATGAAAAGAAGCTGAAAAGAGGCAGTACAGTAATGCGCGCTTAATGGTTTTTTTTTGTTACTATTGTTTTGGTGACATTACCACCTTTCCTACTAAAACGTATCAGAGTTGCAGTGAATAACAACCCGCTACCTCAGTTTAATTCAGGTGACAACTTCAAGGAGAAAGCAGAACCGTTTAATGTAAGTTACATTTTGTAAATGGACCTGATGACCGCTTTTACCTTGAACACAAGTATAGTTATAACAGTTATCGCAGGACACATCGTTCCAAGTGTAGCCATCGTTGGCACCCGGAGTGTGAACACAGTCTTGGTTTTTCCAGTTGTTTGGTTGTTGCGGAGCCCAGAACTGAAAACTGGTTATTTCCTTGTTTGTCCAGACAAGTGATCCCTCAACGCTTCTGTCATTAAGTCCAATCCATGATCGCTCTCCATTATGACGGTGCTGAATGTAGACATTTTCTTCTTGGTTGTGCACTGTTACCAGATGTGAGTTCATAGTTGAACAGTTGGACACAGCGGTCACCCAAGGTGCGCATACAGAGCTTGTTAAATAGCAGTATCCATTGAAGTAATCCCATCCACATGGACAGATGTCTGCGCGTATACAAAGTAGGAATAAGAGAACTACATAATGATATTGCTTAAAATGTATAGCTTTTAATTACAGTTAGGGACGGACCATTAGAAAAGTTATGGGGGGTGGGGAATTTTTGAGCCGCAGAAATTTTTTGTCGTTATCAAATTCCTTGTATGAATTTTTTTTAGGCCGTAGCATAAATACTTTTTAGGGTTAATTGGCTGCACGAATTTTTTTATATTTTATTTTCTCTTGCACGAATATTTTCTTTGTACTTCGCCCCATCCCCCCTCCGGCCCATAATTTTTCTAGTAGTCCGTCCCTTATATACTTCAAACATTTTTGTTATTTTTTGTTTTTTTTTGGCGCTTACAAAAGGAAACGGAAAAACAGAAGCTTTTTGTTCAGGAGAGCTCTTACCTGACAAAACTATGTACGTTACTGACACTGGGTCATATTTTTCTTCATATAATTCTTTGACACAAGCACGAAAGCCTGCCTTGTTGATGTACTGAAAGAAAGGGATGTTATTAGTTCTTTTAGTAGTTCACACAGAAGGCTGACGGCGTTTTTTCTCCCTTGCTAGTAGAAAAAAGCTATAGAACAGTTCAGGTAGGTCTTGACTAGAAGACTTTCCATATTTCTCAGTTTGACACATGTTAAAGGAACAGTAACCCATTACTGCGCATGCGCCTGCTAGCGACAAAATCGCGATAAGTCTTCGTGCCGCGAGCCAAATTTTAAATAAGACTGTTATTCTCAATAGGACGCTATCTGTATTGTAAAATAGAGAGTGTTAATTACAGTAATTCGTATTTTCATAAGGTTTTTAAACATGCGCACAACACATGTAAGTGTGGTTGCAAGTGGTATGTTACAGAAAATAAATAAATAAAAACATACCTCTACCCACTCAGCTATGCTGTTACGAATTGGACTCTGACTTCCATTTTTGGTGGAATGATTGACAGAAACAAACACATGTGGAGTTGATTTATAAACTTTAGCACAAGTAGCGTCCTGTGAAAAGAAATTACATAATTGTAAAAATTCAGTCTCTGACATTTATATTTAACAATTATTCCACGCGGGCGCGTTGGATAGGTAGCCAACGAGTCGCGTAGCGCCGAGTTGGCTATAATCATCTCATATCCAACAAGCGCGAGTGGAATCATTGTTTTATTAAAAACGCCCACAAAATCTCGTTGAATCTCCCCGACTAGAACAAACCGGAAAAGAAAAGGGACTTCCGCTATTCACATGGCACACGTCTATCGAAACTATCAACGCGCGAACGGATTCGCCTGGACTGCATGAATGAAAAATCAAAACATTGTAGCGATGAACATTAGTTTTTTAAAAACTCATCGGGATTCTAGGATTTTACACAGCAGAACAGTTAAAAAACCTGGCAGATAATGTGAAGGAAAAGAATTTTTAAGTGACAGCCGTCGAAATTACTGTGAATTTGGATTTTCGGTGCAGTTGTAAAAGTAAGAAGAATGGAGAAAAACTATTACCTCGGTCGCTTGTTATGAAGAAGTTGTTTGAAGCCACAGGCTGGTTTTGCTGAACGAGAAAAGAAGCTTTACTGCCGCCTCGATTGCTCTAGTGAATGGCAGCATAGCCTGTATTTGTAGCTGGTTACTTGTGATTTATATTCTTGATGTCGGATAAACAAGCTGCAGTTCTCTATCGGCGAGTGACTCGATCGGCGAATGGCTTCGCGATCATGAAGAAACAACACTTGTCTTCTTTCGTAGCTGGTCAAGGTATTTTAGTTCCATGTGTTTTCATGTGTTTTTCGACAAACTTTCAAACAAGCTCTTGTGGCTCTTTTGTTTGTTTTTGTCTTTTTTCTTTCGTTGAAATTGCATTTCTAGTATTCTAAGAAATGAATTAAAACGATTTGCTTCGGGCGCCGTTCTATCCTTCGCGAAAAAAAATCTCAGCTAGCTTCCAATTTTAAACTGACGCGTATACCGACCATATATGGAGAACATGGTATATTAGCTCATATACCATAACGGCTAAGTCAATCAAAATGCTAGAATTGCATTATCCAATGATTCATTTTTTAATAATAGCTCATATACCATAACGGCTAAGCCAATCAAAATGCTAGAATTGCATTATACAATGATTCAGTTTTTAATAAAAAGGTATAGCCTGCGAAAACATCCGTTTCTCCTCGCTCTTCGCCGCTGGGGACGTTTCGCGCAGAGGAACGTCTGCGACTCAGCGGCAGAAATTCCGTATTGATAACGCAAATCATTGTTTACATAATAAATCTGGTAGTTATGGGGTTCCAAATATAAATTTGTCCAATTTTTCTTGTCATCTGGTCGATTGTGTCCATCTGCCAACAAGCTCCAGTCGGAACTCAAATGCTTCTTCTAGAGAAGACTATATTCCACAAATATTGACGGTTTTGTTAGAGATTCTTCGCGTTTACATTTGACCTTTGTGGCCTTTTGTCTTTTGTCTGTCATTCGCGAACAAAAGCTAAAAACAAAGTAACTACTCCGTCGACCAATCAGCGGTTCTGACCGGATTCCGGACAGATTTTACGTCATCAGTATGGAATTTCTGTCGCTGAGTCGCAGACGTTCCTCCGCGCGAAACGTCCCTCAGCAGCGATGAGCTAGGAGAAACGGATGTTTTCGCAGGCTAATAAAGGTATAGACTTGTCGACATTTATAATCTATATTTCATTTTCATTTTAAATATTCACTGAAATATGACAGGCAGCCTGCTAAACTGATTAAATGCAACTACCATCACTAGAGACGTGATAGGGGAACCGTTTTGTTTTGCTCTCTGATAATAAATTTAATCAATAAAATTAAGTGCACTGTGACGGGAATTGAAACCCGTAAGACCAATGAAAGGACTGGAATACTGACCTTGCAGAAGGCATTATAATGACTCTGCGCGGGAGGTTTATCATTCGAAAAGTAAATCGAATTGTGTTCTGAGAAGGGAGGCTCGTCAAGATATGAAAATGCTAACCAATTCTGAAATAAAGTAAATAAATAAATAACAATAAAAGGAAAGAATTCTTTTTCAGTCTCACTTCCTAACTACCAAAAGATTGTGTCAACGTCGAAAATGAAATGGTAATCTGTCAACAAGGTTTATATAAAACAGCCACCGACGTCTTAGGTTACAAGAAAGCAATAACATGGTCAGGTTGACAAAGCCGGATGAAGAGGAAACAGATGGAGGAAAATATATTTTCAAGCAAAAAATCGCGCATCTCTGCTGGACCAACTGCTGAAAGCGTAAAAAAGCGAAAAGATGAGATGGAGAAAGATACCATTCTGCTGCACTTAGTTTCCAACGAAAAACGCTGCTCGTTCGATTCCATGAGATTAGCGTTACTTACAACAACAACGTCTTGGTGTGATCCAGCGTAGTTTTGCAATTCTCGCAAGCAAACTTTGCAGGATGATTGTGTGACATCTTCAATCCATATGCTTGCTGCGTCACGTTTTAATCATGGATTGTAATGTTTGGCAGTCACAAATACCGACGGTATCACAGAGAATTTTCCCTACAAAATAAATCCGAGTGAGGCAACTCTCAACTCTTAGAAAGCCACGAACAGGAATCAATTTCGTATTTTTGCAAAAAGGAACCCATGACATTTGTGAGATGTTGGAAATTGGTAAAAGAATAATTTGTACTACCATGACGTTGTTCGACTAATGGTCATAAGTGTACGGCTGCACCAGAACGACAAATTACTGCTGATGCATATTAAAAACGATCTGTTATTAACAACAAAGGCCACTCACTGTAGGAAACATGACAGTCGCACAAGTCGTACCAGTCCACCACTGTGACATGCACTCTTCACCAGTCACGCCACCCACTGGAGCACCTTGGTACGCCATCCAATCGACTGTCACGTTAGCATACGACTTTCGTTCGTTATATCCTGCCGCCATCACACAAGCAGTGAATCCGTCGTTATTCACATTTTCAACCCACGATACTGCCGTGTCATGGACATACGATTTGTCACTGGTATCCATATGATTGACAGTTATCTGCACTTGAATGGGTTTGTCAGGGTAAAACACAAACGGTTTGAAATGAATGGCATGACAGTGAGAGTAGCCCAAGGATGTGATAGGTGGCATGTGGCCACGACCACGCTGAAAAGGAAATTCTAGAAAACACATGTTAAGATGAACTATAGATTAGTATGACAAGCATGCGGAGCAAAGGGCATTTCATTTTGGATGTTTATCGTTTTCTGGGATACCGGGTCCCATATTTTCCAGTCGGACCCGAATTATAACTCGGACTCGACTGCTTATTCGGACACGAACTTAAATGGGATCCGAATTACAGCAGTCGGGTCCGATCTATTTCAGGTGGGGTCTCAAAGAAATCGGGCTCGATTTAAAGTAATCGGGTCCGAATTGTTTTGATCAGGCCCGATTGAGAATTGGACCCATCTTTTACCCAGAAATTAAAAATGTTGACTTGACAAAGCAGCAAATGATTGATTCTTATAAAGAGGGTTGTTACTCTCTACCATAGAAGTCCCGGGTGAAATTCACAGCGGACAATGTATCGCTTGTCACTGCATTAGGTCAATAGCATGGCAAGCAGTGGAGAGATTAGAACTTGCATCTTGAGCAGAGCTACACGGTAGCAACTGGTCAAGCCTATTAGCGCTAAAGGAAAGGAAAGAGGACATCCACTGTAACTACTACTTCTCGCAGAGAAAAGATTCAGTCCCAGTTATGCTTTTAAAAAAAAAAAATCTAGGAAAGGTTATCCAGATATGTTAGGCAGAGCTACGTCCGTGTAGGAAATGCGAACGACTACTACTAATAATAATTATCTCAGAGAGAAAAATCAGTTTTAAATTTGCTTCAGAGATACACAAATATTTCGTTGAGTATTAACTGAAAATGCTTAAAACATAAGTGTATCCGCCACTTTTTCTGACCAGTATTCTTATTAGCATTACTCCTGTCAAACGTTTTAGCAAAATTACGTAAAATTCTGTACTTCCATAAAGTCACGCATCTATCGCCGTTTTCCCTCCAGATTACATGGGTAAGTAAATAGTTCATTCGAAAAATTCGCTAAGGCATTAATACTGAAATCTAATGAAAACAAATATTACTTTTTAACAGATTCAAAAATAACTGTACTAACCTTCACAGCTGCATATCTTAAAGATGGCGTTACTTTATGTTGTCTGTAAAACGATTTTCAAATAATTTCTGAGAAGCTCAAAATGATTTCCCCAAAATAACTTTTACGTAACATAAACGTTTGATTCCTGCAGTGTATTTCCCTTCAAGCTGAAAAAATTCTGATCAAAGGCACATGATGAAAATCGTCGCTGTTTTCAACGACCTTTCATGGGTAAACATCAGGTAGCCGTACGCTTTAGCTTTTTTATAATTACTCAGACTGCTGTAATGCTAAAAATATTATACATTTTGCTCAACAACGAGTTATACTTAAAAGTTAAGCAATAAGTTTTTTTCTAGCGCGGTTGTATTGGAAAGCGAGTCCAGCGAATCATGATGAATTTCAACCCTGTTCTTAGCTTGCGAAATCGACGGTGGGGCTTGAAACGTTTTTCTTCGTCTTTTAGTATCGGAAACGAACAGATCTTTCGAAGAAAAAACTACATAGCGTTTGTATACTTACTAAAGTCTACCAGTCTGCAAAAGAAGAGCGATTTTGATTTTTTGAGCCTTTCCACGAATCGGCGATTTTGGTCGATTTTTGCATGGATTCGCTCTTAAAACGTCACATTTACAGTCAAACCAGGTCAAGCGTACCCCCCAAGAATACATTAATGAATTTATTATTCAAAAGTTGAATCCGTTGCTAGTTGTAGATTTCAGATTGATCTCTGCATTCTTGCACATGTAATGAGCCGTGAATTCGCACGCGAGGCAGTTATGAAATTTCTACCAGCTCCATTTTCCTGAAATTGATGTAAATGTCTTCTAAGAAGCTTAATCCATTCAAAGATTTCCAATCTGACCAAATACAGAGAAGTTCTCGTAAAATATTCACTGCTCATTACCCATGCAGAAATGCCGCTTTGAATTTGACACCAGTTACGGGAACGACGAACGGATTCATTTTTCGAATAATCAATTCATTAATAGAATCTTGGGGGGTACGCTTGACTTGGTTTGACTGTAACATACAATATTTGTTCGTTAATTCTTTTTTGTGGACTTTTTTCTCCGAGAAGTCCCACAACGTTTTAGGCCATTCTACTCCGTTAAAAATTTAAATATTTTAGTGTTTCAAATGTAAGTAAAAAGGAAATGCATAAAAACTATAAGAAGAATATTCTATTCTATATACAAGTCGGTCACGTGTCGTTGTGTTTTGAACGGAAGAGCCCAGTTCGAACTGTTATAACTGCGCAACGCCTGGTAACTACTTTATATCATCAAGTCGAGGCTTGGTTAAAATGCGCCTATGAACTAGAGCTGGAGGGTCTCTGAATGGAAAATGAGGTATTAACCCGTGTCCCTGGTCTACGAAGAGGCAAGATCTCCCTCAACTTATTCGATTTTCCTAATGTGAAGAAATCTATAAAATAAAGGGATCGCATTTTGTCTTCGTGCTGATAGGAAGCTTGAGTCCATGAAAACGTCCATATATACCCCGAGCATTTCGAGAACAAAAAAACCTGAAGACCTTGTCTGGAACCAAAAAGTCCAGCTAAAGGGACGGTTCAGACCATTTTGTAACTCAAAATGAGTGCCAAAATGAGAAACTCGTGGATACGTGAAGCCTGTTAAACAGGTATATGCACAGCACTATACTATTCTCTTTTAGCACACGATTTTTTTTTCTGAGCAATTTATCCAAAGATTCTACATAGTTTTTACTTTGATTTAAGGACTTTTCATCAACGCTCTTCCAAAACACAATTTCTCTCCGATGGATCGGTTGCAGATGCTGGGAAGTATTCCCTCTGAAAAGAAATAATAACACAAGCTGGAAAGTTCGCTTCACGGCTGCAGCTGCTACCTAACCTAAATTCGACTTTTCGTTAGCTAGGAGAAAGAGTAAGCCATACATAAATAAATTCCCCATTTTGTTAGTTTTTATTGTCTCTACAATGTCATTCCACAAAATGCTCTACAGTTTCCTAACTACTACAAGAACCTGACAAAGACCTCATTAAGGCCGTCCCTGGTTTTCAATCTAAACACAGGTGCAAATAATAGTGTCGATCTGTTTATCTACGCCGTGAAAAATAAAACCCTTCAACAATTAACTCTCGTTATGGTGACCTCGACTTCTCAAGTTCCTAGCTAGCGAACCAATATTTTCCAGAAATCGCCAGGGGACACTCTGGAAACGGAAGGAGAATCGTCGCATTCCCATCTGCTAGCTGGCAGAATATTCCATAAATGATTCCCCACTCCTTGACGAGGGTAGTCCCATACAAAAGCAGCGTGATTGTACAACCGATCGTGATCGTGTTCATGACCCCATTTTCCAATTTTATAAGAACCCTTTGCGTATCCCCAGTATTGGCAGAGTCTTGCTAACCGCGAGTTGTCGTTGCTCATGACAACAAACGAGCCACAAGAGGCGGGCATCACATCTGTCTCACCACTGAAGTATTTGACAACAGCTTCACCTGTGCTGTTAGCAGCCGTGGTGATGTGAAATCTACGACCTCCTCTTTTCTTGCAGTGAAATCTTATCTGAGTAAAATGCATGTGCTTTCTCAGCTCCTTCATGGCGCTTTTTGTGAGCACCATCTCTTTGCTGCTTACTCCGCGGTACGAAGTCTTAACTGGAATCTGAGTGGAAGATGAACCGTGCGAAACAACTTTGGAAACAAGAAGCCATCCCCCTGAAATTCAATAAATGTTTATCAATCATGTGGGCCAAAACAAGCAGTAATATTCAGTTCACAGCCAAAGTCGCTGTAAGCTCTATTAATATCACTCACGCGAACTAAGATATCCGTGATTCGCTAAGCAGTCTTTCAAGTTGACCCCGAAACGAGGCCTGGCGCAAACAATGCATTTATGAAATACCAATATAGTTATTGAGAATTTATTGAACTTACTTCATGAAATAAGACGTACCAGCATAAAAGAAGTGTCAGCTTCAACTAAAACCTTACCTCCGTCAGTTGTCATGTCACAATATGCCTCAAAAGGACTATTAGTCCTTCCAGGGTCAATCCAGTACTCCCCGTCGCCATTGGAGATACCTAAGTCCCTGATTTCTTTGCAGGATTGAGCGGGATCGTAGGAAAACATTCCGCGTGTCGCTACAACAAAATAGATATCAACATTAGAGATCAACTTTGAAAAATTCGTTGTTTGGAAAAAGTTTGCAAAGCTTCTATGGAGAAACGAGAATTTCACTTTAATCTTCGTGTAAACTCAAGGTGAAAATGAAAGAAGAAAACGTGGTTGATAAATGGTTAACAAAAGAATTTAAAAAAAGCCTTAACAATTCGCCTGCGTAAAATGAAACTAAAGAAAAAGTGAAGATAGTTTCAGAAAGCTCCATTACTGAATTAATCAAGCCTGCAATCGTTTTCAAAGAGTAGTGATTCCTGTTGCTGGAGGTAACTTTGAGTTGAGGCTATTAGGGAGGAAAATCATTAAAGAATAATTGCATGTGAACAGATTCCCTGGCTTAAGCCCGTTGATGTAGGCTAGTTCCAGTTCATAGCTAAGAATCCATGACAAATGTGTTTAACTAACAAAAGCAGACAACGCGATAATTGCGTATGCTATTGAGATATTTATACCTTTACACTTTTTCCCATCTCCCTTGTAACCAGGTTTACACGTGCAAGTGAAAGACCCTTCAGTGTTCTTACATAACGCATTTCTGTCACAGTTATGGATTTTGCTTGTACACTCGTCGATTTCTGAAAAAAACAAAGACAAACATAAATTGCATTTATTTTACGTTTACAAGGCAGGTATATATAACTTCAAAACTTCTTTCTTGACATTCTCCTCTTATAATTCTACGTTACAGATAAACCGGTGGCTTCTGCGGATATGGTGGGGTTACAAAGTTACATAGCCCAGTTGTTCAAAAGCTGAATAAATAGCCATCCAGTAGTGGGTAGTGATTTATCCGATGCAAAGCGCTATTCAACGTTTGAACAACCGGTGCCAGGGGGAATAAATACAAGCAATGGAATGAGCGAGTGTGCTGGATGTATAAACTATCTTTGGTTATTAGAACTTAGGGTGGATTTCCACTGCCGCGTAATATTTACGTGAGTATGCGCGTAAAATGAGCGCGCGTTAAGTTTAGCAAGGGTCAACTTTTACCTTTACGCGCGACCTTTCATACATAACCCCTATTTCACTTACGTACGTAAAACTAACGCGCTCACGCAGTCACGTAAAAATTACGCGATAGTGGAAACCAACCTTTACTAAAAGAGTGCTAGATAGTTACCTCTACACTTCTTTCCATCTCCCTTGTAACCGCGATTGCAGGTGCAAGTAAAGGACCCCTCAGCGTTCTTACATACCGCATTTTTGTCACAGTTATGGGTTTTGCTCTTACACTCGTCGATATCTATAAACAAAGACAAAATTATAAAACATTGATTTCATGCGCCAAAAACAACAAGGCGATACCTTCCTCGACATTTCCTTCCGACTTTCCTTTATTTACACCCCGTTGGGGCTTTATATTGTCTTCAGTCTGAATTGGGGCGACCTTGAGGCCTAAAAGTGAAATTTTCATTTTCGAGTTTATTTTTTAATCATATCAAGCTATAAGGTTATTACCAATGAAATTCTTAAATTCAATCCAATCACCAAACGGAAGTACACCTACCAGTTTTGGTAATTGTTTTAATTGAAAGAGTGAAAATTCGTGTAAAACGTTGTTCCATACATTGGTGCAAGTTTGTTTATAATGCTCAAAATCCATCCACGAAAGGTTGGTGCCGCCTTAGACTGGGGGCTTCATAAATAACCCTTATTTTACTTTCTTTACTTACTTATTTTTACGTACGTAAAACTAACGCGCCTACGCAGTCACGTAAAAACTACGCGATAGTATAATGCTCAAAATCCATCCACTAAAGGTTGGTGCCGCCTTAGACTGGAGGCTTATTAGAAAGTTTCGAATACTAAAGCTAGAGAAAATAATAACAGTACTGTACATACACAACAAAGCATAAATAAACTCAACACTCAGTTTGCGAAGCAAAAGGGCAAACTATATGTTTGCTCAAAATCCATTAAATTACCACTAAAGGTTGGTGGCTTATTGTTGCCGCCTTAGACTGAGAGTTTATAAGAAATTTACGACTACAATAGATAAATGAAAAACTTAATTACAGCACTTTACATATACAGTATGATGTCTGCGAAAAGATACTAAAGACACGTAAACTACTTTTTTTAATTAACAAACAACATCAGAAAAGAATGAATTCAGTCAGTTTGCGAAGTTTTAGTGGAGGGCAAAATATGGGCGATGTCTAAAAGCAATCTTCACTACTTACCAACGCATTTGCGGCCATTTCCAGAATATCCAGCTTTGCAAGTACATTTGTATTAGCCCACGGTATTCTGGCAAGCAGCATTCACATTGCATCTGTGATAGTTGGTTGTACATTCGTCAATTTCTGAAAGAAATCACGGCGCTTCATTCACTCACATGTTCCATTGTTGATCGATGACCTTGCTACGTGTTTATTTTCTAAAATGATATTCTCAACTTGAATTCATAAAAAACTCTTGAAAAGAAAAAAAAGGAAATTTCTTTGAATTTGTCAAACACTGGACACAATGCTTTCATCTCAAGGAAACAGCAGATATTAATTAAAATTTACCACACGCGTGCGAACTTGAGGCCTAAAAGTGAAATTTTTATTTTCGAGGTTTTTTTTAATCATATCAAACTATAAGGTTATTACCAATAAAATTCTTAAATTCAAACCAAATATGTCCTCAAACGGAAGTACACCTACCAGTTTTTTGAAAGAGTGAAAATTCGTGTTAACGTTGTTCCATACATTAGTGCAAGTATTTTTATAATGCTCAAAATCCATCCACTAAAGGTTGGTGCCCGCTTAGACTGGGCGCTTCATAAATAACCCTTATTTTACTTACTTTACTTACTTATTTTTACGTACTTAAAACTAACGCGCCTACGCAGTCACGTAAAAATTACGCGATAGTATAATGCTCAAAATCCATCCACTAAAGGTTGGTGCCGCCTTAGACTGGAGGCTTATTAGAAAGTTTCGAATACTAAAGATAGAGAAATCAATAACAGTACTATACATACACAACAAAGCATATTTATCTAGTCTATAAATAAACTCAACACTCAGTTTGCGAAGCAAAAGGGCAGACTATATGTTTGCTCAAAATCCATTAAATTACCACTAAAGGTTGGTGGCTTATTGTTGCCGCCTTAGACTGAGAGCCTATAAGAAATATTTCGAAATTATAAGAAATTTACGACTACAATAGATAAATGAAAAACTTAATTACAGCACTGTACATATACAGTATGATGTCCGTAAAAAGATACTAAAGACACGTAAACTACTTTTTTTTAATTAACAAACAACATCAGAAAAGAATGAATTCAGTCAGTTTGCGAAGTTTTAGGGCAAAATATGGACGATGTCTGAAAGCAAACTTCAGTACTTACCAACGCATTTGCGGCCATTTCCAGAATATCCAGCTTTGCAAGTACATTTGTATGAGCCCACGGTATTCTGGCAAGCAGCATTCACATTACATCTGTGATAGTTAGTTGTGCATTCGTCAATTTCTGAAAGAAATCACGGCGCTTCATTCACTCACATGTTCTATTGTTGATCAATGACATTGATACGTGTATATTTTCTAAAATGATATTCTCAACTTGAATTCACACAAAAACTCTTGAAAAGAAAAAAAGGAAATTTCTTTGAATTTGTCAAACACTGGACACTGTCGAATAAGCTCGGTCGCGTGCCCATTTTTTCCTTGATATTTTCGGTCAGGTTTGACACATAAACTGAAGCAAAGTTAATAAAAGTGGAGTGGCTTCGAAGTCCTACAAACGTCTTTATAATTTTTTTTGGTTACCTTTTTCGGACTTGACCGACGTTGTGAAAAGTTCAATACCATTCCTATCATTTTGATCCTGTCACCAATAAAATCGTAGCCTGTGTACAGACGCCCTCCTCCCCTCAAAAAAAGGGGGAGGGGGCGTCTGTACACAGGCTATAAAAACATCGCATTAATTTATTCATTCCATTTTGTGAGAAAATAAAAGAAGATAGCTACCAACATAAACTGCAGCACCTTTGTTAAAATCTTAAGCTTTGATGCCGTTTGTCGGCTTTTATAACCAATCTCCTCTACTAACTATGACTGAAAGATGATACTACATTCATGCGCGTTTACATTAGATGGCTTTTTTGATGTTTTGGTTACATTCCTGGCATGAAATATTGAAGTAAGCCACAACCCTTTACAGAAGATAAGATTCCCTCAGGTGCCAACTAACAGATCATTTAATGTAAATTGTAAAACGGACCTGATGACCTCTTTTACCTTGAACACAAGTATAGTTATAGCAGTTCTCGCAGGAAACATCGTTCCAAGTGTAGCCATCATTGGCACCCAGAGTGTGAACACAGTCTTCGTTTTTCCAGTTGTTTGGTTGTTGCGGAGCCCAGAACCGAAAACTGGTTATTTCCTTGCTTGTCCAGACAAATGATCCCTCAACGCTTCGGTCATTAAGTCCAATCCATGATCGCTCTCCATTATGACGGTGCTGAATGAAGACATTTTCCTCTTGGTTGTGTACTGTTACCAGATATGAGTTCATTGCTGAACAGTTGGACACAGCAGTCACCCAAGGTGCGCATACAGAGCTTGATAAATAGCAGTATCCATTGAAGTAATCCCATCCAGATGGACAGATGTCTGCGCGTATACAAAGTAGGAATTTGTGAACTGCATATAATCATATTGCTTAAAATGTATAGCTTTACGTGCAGTTATGTGCTTCGAACATTTTGGTTATTTCCGCTTTTGCGATTAAAAAAAGAAATGGAAAAGCAGAAGCTTTGTGTTCAGGACAAAATAAAGGCAATACATAAGACAAAAACTACTGCAAGCTTTATAAAGCACTCCAGTATACACATTAATATGTATTTGGAAAAAGGGATGAACGCTGTTTTTCATCATCACCCGAATGCAATTTTTTTTATTTCCTCCAGTTTTTGTGCATTCCTTTTGTGTATTGCTTGTATTCTTTTTTTATTATTATTCAGAGACTTGTAAGTACTGAAGTTTATTAGTTTTGAAGCAGTGGAGCACTTACCTGACAACACTGTGTACGTTACTGACAGTGGGTCATATTTTGCTTCATATAATTCTTTGACACAAGCACGAAAGCCTGTCTTGTTGATGTACTGCAAGAAAGGGATGTTTATCAGCTCATTAAGTAGTTCACACAGACGGCTGACGGCGTTTTTTCTCCCTTGCTAGTAGAAAAAAACTATAGAACAGTTCAGGTAGGTGTTCACTAGAAAGACTTTCCATATTTCTCAGATTGACACATGTTAACAAGTTTGCATGACAGGGCTTCAAAGGGAAGAGGAAAGAGGACAATTGAGTACGCGTTATTACATGTCAACGACTTAAACCTCTCATGCGATAATTGCTATAACTGCTGCCAAACTTCAAATGTTTGGCGACGAAATTATTATGTCGTGCACGGGAAAGTAGACCGCGCGGGTCAAGGAAACAGCAGATAAAAATAACCTTCATCGCACGCGTGCGAACTTTCAATAGATTCCAAATAATCATCATGGGGCCCAGAAATTCGCTCTCTTAGCTCATTCTCGCTTGCTTAACATCAAGTTTAGTTTTCCTATTGCTTTTTGTTGACAACATTTGTCTCCCGGAAAAACAAAACAGCGGCTTACCATCTCCTATACTGCTGCACAGCTTTTTAAAACACAGTTTTAACAACTTTCCATAATTCATGGCTATTTTACCAGGGTTTTGCCTGATCGTTAGTTAAACGGATAAAATTAAACTTTTCTGCTGTTTTCCGCTCGTTTGGCGTTTTATAAGCTGTTATTCTCAATAGGACGCTATCTGTATCGTAAAATAGAGAGTGTTAATTACAGTCATTCGTATTTTGAAATTCATAAGGTTTTTAAACGTGCACACAACACATGTAAGTGTGGTTGCAAGTGGTATGTTACAGAAATTCATAAAATAAATGAAAAAGTAGATAAATAGATAAATAAAAACATACCTCTACCCACTCAGCTATGCTGTTATGAATTGGACTCTGACTTCCATTTTTGGTGGAATGATTGGCAGAAACAAACACATGTGGAGTTGAGTTATAAACTTTAGCAAAAGTAGCGTCCTGTGAAAAGAAATTACATAAATGTAAAAATTTAGTCTCTGACATTTATATAAAGGTAAAGACTTGTTCCGCATTAGGGCATTTATAATCTATATTTCATTTTCATTTTAAATATTCACTGAAATATGACAGGCAGCCTGATAAACTGATTAAATGCAACTACCATCACTAGAGACATGATAGGGGAACCGTTTTCTTTTGCTCTCTGATAGTAAATTTATTCAATGAAATTAAGTGCACTGTGACGGGAATTGAAACCCAAAAGACTAATGAAAGGACTGGAATACTGACCTTGCAGAAGGCATTATAGTGACTCTGCGCGGGAGGTTTATCGTTCGAAAAGTAAATCGAATTGTGTTCTGAGAAGGGAGGCTCGTCAAGATATGAAAACGCTAACCAAGTCTGAAATAAAGTAAATAAATAAATAATAATAGAAAGAAAGAATTCTTTTTCAGTCTCACGTCCTAACTACCAAAAGATTGTGTCAACGTCGAAAATAAAATATAAATGGTAATCTCTCAACAAGGTTTATATAAAACAGCCACCGACATCTTAGGTTACAAGAAAGCAATAACATGGTCAGGTTGACAAAGCCGGATGAAGAGGAAACAGATGGAGGAAAATATATTTTCAAGCAAAAAATCGTGCATCTCTGCTGGACCAACTGCTGGAAGCGTAAAAAAGCGAAAAGATGAGATGAAGAAAGATACCAGTCTGCTGCACTTAGTTTCCAAAGAAAAACGCTGTTCGTTCGACTGCATGAGATTAGCGTTACTTACAACAACAACGTCTTGGTGTGATCCAGCGTAGTTTTGCAATTCTCTCAAGCAAACTTTGCAGGATGATTGTGTGACATCTTCAATCCATATGCTTGCTGCGTCACGTTTTAATCCTGGATTGTAAAGCTTGGCAGTCACAAATACCGACGGTATCACAGAGAATTTTCCCTGAAAAATAAATGCGAGTTAGGCAACTCTCAACTCTTAGAAAGCTACGAACAGGAATTAATTTCGTATTTTTGCAAAAAGGAACCCATGACATTTGTGATATGCTGGAAATTGGTAAAAGAATAATTTGTACTACCATGACATTGTTCGACTAATGGTCATAAGTGTACGGCTGCACCATTACGACAAATCACTGCTGATGCATATTGAAAACGATCTGTTATTAACTGAGTGAACTCAGTAGAAGTGAGGCGTTTCAAAAGATATGATCTTGAAAAGAATGGAAAGGACAAGAAAGCCCAACAAAGGCCACTCACTGTAGGAAACCTGACAGTCGCACAAGTCGTACCAGTCCACCACTGTGACATGCGCACTTCACCAGTCACGCCACCCACTGGAGCACCTTGGTACGCCATCCAATCAACTGTCACGTTAGCATACGACTTTCGTTCGTTATATCCTGCCGCCATCACACAAGCAGTGAATCCGTCGTTATTCACATTTTCAACCCACAATACTGCCGCGTCATGGACATACGATTTGTCACTGGTATCCATATGATTGACAGTTATCTGCACTTGAATGGGTTTGTCAGGGTAAAACACAAACGGTTTGAAATGAATGGCATGACAGTGAGAGTAGCCCAAGGATGGAAAATGTGGCATGTGGCGACGACCACGCTGAAAAGGAAATCCTAGAAAACACATTTCAAGATGAACTATAGATTAGTATGACAAGCATGCGGAGCAAAGGGCATTTACCCAGAACTTAAAAATGTTAACAGAACAGCAAATGAGTGGGTCTAATAAAGAGGGTTGTTACTCTCTACTATAGAAGTTCAGGGAAACTTCACACCGGACAATGTATCGCTTGTCACTGCATTAGGTAAATAGCATGGCAAGCAGTGGAGAGATTAGAACTTGCATCCTGAGCAGAGCTACACGGTGGCAAATGGTCAAGCCTATAAGCGCTAAAGGAAAGGAAAGTGAACATTCACTGTAACTACTACTTCTCGCAAAGAAAAGATTCAGTTCCAGTTATGCTTAAAAAGATATAACTCTAGGAAAGGTTATCCAGATATGTCAGGCAGAGCTACGTCCGGGTACGAAATGCAAACGATTATTGCAACTACTATTACTACTGCTGCTACTACTACTACTACTACTACTACCACTACCACTACCACTACCACTACCACTACCACTACCACTACCACTACCACTACTGCTACTACTATACTACTACTACTACTACTACTACTACTACTACTACTACTACTACTACTACTACTACTACTACTACTACTACTACTACTACTACTACTACTACTACTACTACTACTACTACTACCACTACTACTACTACCACTACTACTACTACTACTACTACTACTACTACTACTACTACTACTACTACTGCTACTACTACTACTACTACTACTGCTACTGCTACTGCTACTGCTACTGCTACTGCTACTGCTACTACTACTACTACTACTACTACTACTACTACTACTACTACTACTACTACTACTACTACTACTATACTACTAATCTCAGAGAGACAAGAATTAGTTTTAAATTTCTTTCAGTGATACATATATAAAGAAAAAAACAAATATTTTCGTTTAGTATTGACTGAAAATGCTTAAATATAAGTGTGTCCGCCATTTTTTCTGACCAGTATTCTTATTAGCATTGCTCCTGTGCATGACAAACGTTTTAGCAAAATTACGTGAAATTCTGTACTTCCATAAAGTCATGCATCTATCGCCGTTTTTCCCTCCAGATTACATGGCTAAGTAAATACCTCATTCGAAAAATTCACTAAGGGATTAATACTGAAATCTAATAAAAAGAAAAATCACTTTTTAACAGATTCAAAAACAATTGTACTAACCTTCACAGCTGCTAGGATGTTGCACGGTTAAGTTTAGTCGATGTAGACAAACTTCTCTTTCAAACAAACATCTGTTGTCGTACGTTGTGCCATTTGATGAGCAAACGGGTTCTTTGTAAGATGGGCAGCTATCCACACATACACAGCGTGCATCATGGGGTCCAAACGCCTTACAGAAGCTGTGATAATAACACGTAACGTCTATGCAGGGATCCAAGTCTGAAGATAATTAAGCAAATAACAACAGATGGATTTAAAGCGCCCATAACTTAAAAAGTTATTTTTTTAGAATTGAAAATGCACATTACTATGAGAACGTGCGAGAAAAAAAAAATTGCTTTGAACACAATGTTATTAAAGAGAATTTTTTGACACGTTCAAATTTACCGCCACTTTGGCACACCATTCGTGCAAGTCTTCACTCGGATGCCTCCCGGAAACAAAGGGGCTCTAACGTATTTTAAGAAACTGTAACGCAAATTAAGGAACACGTGACTTTAGATACAAGAAAAAAAGTATAGATTCTACAAAACTTCGTCCAATTTACAAGCTGAAACTGCTTTAAGATGCCAATAAGATGCATTGCAGGTAGATGCAACAACACTGGCGACTCTAAGAAAAGGATAAGAATGCATATGATCCCGTTTTTCAGCTCAGTAAACCAAATCTACAATCCCCAAAAATAGAGACAACAAAAAAATAGCATCAATTAGAGAAAAAAAGCCCTGCATGAAACAACTTCAAAAGATTCATGTCATAAAATGTACTTGATACACTGCAGCATACAGCCTTCACCAAGGTTTTGATATAATTATTGTTTACGTACCTCCAATCACCAGGTAATCCAGTTGTACGATGTCCTTATAATTGGCGTTATTGCTGTATCTTCTCATACACACCTCGGTTTCGTTTGTAAAGGTATGCTAGACACAATAATAAGAATTATCAGATTATCCATCATTAAGCATCATCAGGTATTTTCTTACCTTAACTGCTATGTCACTACCAAAGGTCGTTTAGAAAGCGAAACCGTGGCGTGCACAGGTTGGTTGGAAAAATTGTGAAAAAAGAAGACAGCTGTCAAAATGGGACTCGTGAAGACCACTATCAGATCACTAACAACGTGGGCTCAAATACACGATCTGCCAGACTGAAATGTCTTACTAACACTTGCGGTCAACAGTCCGTTTATTCGAAAATTTGCCATTCTAATGAAGTTCAATCAATTCACAGCTGTCAAACTACAGTATCCGCTGACCATCATCACCTGACCGTATGGACTCCTTAAACGACGTGAAAAATTGAAACTGAGACAATGCTAAAAGTAAGTTCGAAGGGAAGAGATAAGAAGGCAGCCTAAGGACGCAATGGGCTAAGAAAAATGGCTCCAAGTTTCATATGTTACCTGAATCCACGCAGTAACTGCGTTACAAGTTCCAGAAGCCGAGAAACGGGAGTTGTTGTTATGGTAACTGAGTCTTGGTGAAACCATTACTATCGGAGGGGCATATAAAGCATGAGTGAACTTTATTATCTAAAAAAAAACAAGAAAAGAATCAGCGTTATTAAGTTTTTATACACATATGCGGTATATGATATATGTTGTTTAAATAGTTGACGATAATATGTTGTTTAAATGGTTGACGATATTTTCTGTTTATGAATATAAGTGACTGAGAAACCAAAACAGTATAGTTTATTAGTTACTTTACCTGACAGAGGGCCTTGCTTTGTTGCTTGTTTAGTGGTGAGTTATTCTTTGTTGTTACAAGGCCATGGATCAAGGTAGAATTCAGCGTCATCAGCTTAACAAATGCTATCCAGTCCTGAAGGACAAGTGAAAAAGTGTTAACTGTGTTATCAATATATTCTTTCTCAAGTCAAGGTTGTTTCTAAGAGACTGGGAGCCCATTGCTCTGAACCTGTGTAAATCACAGGGTACCCAACATAGGGTTCCCAACATAGGATCTAGGATAGGATGAAAAAAGCCACGATTTCCTAGTAGGCAAAGAGCAAAGGTAGAGCTCAGAGGCAACTGGGTTCTGCTAGGGCACAGCCCCTGTAAGTTGCAGTAAGGGAGGAACCGCTTGGTTGTCGCGTGGGTCTACTTTCAAACATGTAACAGGTAACAAAAGGAATTCACTTACCACCTTGATGTTTTTATGCAGACCATCAAAAATCTTAGTTTCCCTGAGGCAAACCTTAAAACTGTCTCTGCGTACATCCTCTACCCACAATGCCAAGGCGTCCTGAGGTCTCTTGAGAATTTGGTGACGAGCTGTTACGTAGATGCTCGGAGGAATTGAGAAACGCTGAAAAAGTAAAAGAGAAGGAAATAAATAATCAATTACATCTATCTTTCAAACAAACAAGGGTATGATATAAAACGATGGAAGTGTGATAGAAAAAATCATTTTGAACTTGAAAGAAGCAAATTGGATGGAATTTCCTAGTGCAGATGAAAAACTAAGAACTGTTTTACGAAATAAACACAGAATTTGCAAATCAGCAAATAAAATGATAATCATGAACTTGGCAACGTAGTCACAAAAGGAATCGAAATATAGACTTTCTCACTAAATTTTTTAGAGCAAAAATTAGCAAAAATATGAAGATTGTTAAAGATGTACGGTGTTAATGTAAATAAAAAAATTGAAATGATCAAGAAAAGTGGAGGACAGATTGCAAGATAACTTTGATGGAAGAAAATAGAGGTAGCAATATCTGTAAGATCTTGGTAAACGAATAAAGAATCGTATTTTATAATGCAACAATGTTATATCGCATGACTTAAAGATATAAGGAGGACTACAAATGGAAAGTCTGCAGCTCCTACGAGCTAAATAAAGAAAGAGGAAGTTAAAGCGACTTAGTCAGGCAAAGGTCAAAAAATAACGTAGTGAAATCTTGTGTCTAGGTTTGAGCAAACAGAAATACCTAGTAAATGAGTAAGAACTATTAACTTAACGAAAACGCAAGGGGAAACAGAGGTAACCTTTTCAAATGCGATCCTTTTACACTTTTCACCAGTAGTCCAAGAATCCAACGAGACTGTGTCTAGTTGAGCGCCAACAGGAACAGATTGCAGCGCCATCCAGTTCACTTTCGTAGTCCCACTAGAACCATCTCCGTACTCCAAAACACAAACTGTAAATTCTTTATTATCCACAGATTCCACCCAAATAGCCGCGCCATTTCCACCACTATAACTCTTTGTTGTGTGGCTTTTGGAAACGAAAACTTTCACATCCTGCCCGCCATTTAAAGGCTTTTCAAAGGAAACCTTTTCACACGCAAACAGACCAGGAGTAGTAATGGTGAAATTGCATATTCCAGTTTTGATACTCAGCGCTGGAAAATACAAAAAAGTAAAAAAAATAAAAATAAGTGTAAAAACAAAATACAGAGATGAATATTCTCTTTTATACCTTCAACGTCTTGGTAAGAAAGTGCAGCTACGAAGAAGAAAGCCGACAACAACTGCACACAGACTTCTTGCTTGGTACACATCTTGCTTCAAATGAAGAAAAATCCACTCTGTTGAACATTATACCTCTTAGCAATACGTGGCAATATAGTCCAACTTGTTTTTACGTGTTTAGAAGATCTCATTTGCTTTGTTTGTGGGGGTAGGGGGTAAAGATCTTTGAGGTAAGTCAATTGTAAGATTTATGCGGAAACTTAGAAGGGTAGGCACGTGGGTCCAATCACTGCACTGTCACCACTACCATGGCGATGTATTGAAAAATGCAGGGGAAGAGGTTCCTCTGTTCTTCTGTTTCCTTTAGGTCCTAAAATCATGTTTTCAAGAAATAATTTTAGGACTTAAAATTTTAACTTTGAAGCGCTTCCAGTTGATCTGTCAGGATAATTTTATACTATATATAATAAAGGCAAAAAACACAACAACCCACTGAGGAATACGGGAATTTGTGTGAACCTAGAGCACTTATAATTTTGAATAAAAAATAAACCAAACGAAGATTATATCATTTGTTTTATGTGGCCCAAAATTTCACGGACAGTTATTAGGTGAGGTGTCCGCCACGAAATTGATAGCCGACCTCATCATTTCCATGATGCAAGTTTTACTGAATTATTTTGAATCCGAAAAATTATTTTATTTACCCCCGCCACACCAAAAGTTAATATTTTGATTTAAAGATAATCTACGGCGAATCTCGACCACAGAAAGCTGTATTTTTTTTCTTTCCATACTTAGATGATTAAGTCTTACGAACACGCACATTACATCGAAACAAGCGGGCAGGAAGGTTCCATCTTGCCCTACTGAGGTGTAGCTTGTTACAGCCATAGTTATTAGAGGAGACTGGTTATGAAAAGCGGCAAACATCAATGATAAAAACAACAGTGGTGCAGTTTATGTTCAAAGCACCGTGAAAGTGCACAATCCTTTGTTTTCTGTTGGCAAATTGTTACGGAATAAATTAATGCAACGTTTTTATTGGTCAATACAATCAAAATGATAGGAATTCTTTTGAACGTTGTGCACTTTCAGGTCCACAAAAACATATAACAAAGGAGTCTGACGGGTTTCATAACCATTCCACTCAATTAACTATGTTACAGCGAAGGATTTACCGGTTTCACCCTGGCCACTTTACAGAGCAAGCAATGAAGCAAGAGATATTCATTGAAAACATTTGCGATTTAGTTATGTGGCATTAACAAGTTGTTCAGATTTGCATTTCAATATTCAGTTTATCGAGTCCGCACACTTTTTTATTCTCTTGTATGCATATTTAGGTTGCTTATAACGTCTGAATATTTGCTTAAAATCAAAATTTTCATGGCTTTTATTAGAAGCAGCGTTTTCGTCGAGAAATTAACCAAAGTATTAAAAGACAAACACTTTCCTCTTACTTTTGAATGCTTGAAATATTGATACGCTGAATTTCATTTACCCAGACCAAGACAATTATACTGAGATCCGAAAATTGTAATCAGGATACTTAATTACAATTTAGTTCGCATAAGACCACGTAACAATCGTTAGAATTCTGCTTAGCCAGCGTGTTATACTCCTCAACGCCGAAAAAAAGAAAGAAATTTCAAGGACTCGGTACCGGTATGGCCTCTAGTCGCATTTGAACCTTGCGGGTAAAAACCTTTATTGTTTAGACTCAGTGTGGTCCTCTTAATTGTCCAACCTCGACTTAATTTAATATTTCGCTATAAAGTTTGCGATTCAAGGGAATTATCCTCTTTCGCCGTATTTCTCCTTCATAGCGACCTCAACATAGGTTTGTTCGTAGTTATTAGAGGAGACTGGTTATGAAAAGCGGCAAACATCAATGATAAAAACAACAGTGCTGCAGTTATGTTGAAAGCACCCTGAAAGTACACAATCCTTTGTTTTCTGTTGGCAAATTGTTACGGAAAAAATTAATGCAACGTTTTTATTGGTCAATACAATCAAAATGATAGGAATTCTTTTGAACGTTGTGCACTTTCAGGTCCACAAAAACATATAACAAAGGAGTCTGACGGGTTCATAACCATTCCACTCAATTAACTATGGGTTTGTTACCCCATGTTATCTCAAGACGAACGACTTCCGCGAGACAAAGGTAAATAACTATTCTCGTTCCAACGCGTTGTCTATCTCAGAAACTATGAAGAGGTCCGATGATTTGTTATTTTCGTTATTTTTTTAAAAGGAGGAAATATTGATACAGATAAGCATAGGTTACAAAAGGTACGTTCCAAATCTTAGAGTTGTTCTTTTCAGTGGTAAATCCAAGATATGCCGGAGTTAATTTTCCCCTTTTACAGATGTTTATTTTGCATAATGACAACATGGCAAATTACGTAAGAATCAGTGCCTAAACATTTGTTAAATTTCTGTTAAAAGATAATGTGTAATCTAATTTCCGTTCCTTTTTTCTATTGCAATATTATTATGACTTAAACTTCCACTTTTTTTAGGCTAAAAAATTAGATTATTGCAGATTAGTGATAATTACCCAATGTATTTATATATTTGCGTGACATAGAGGACATTTGGCTAGACCGTGGATATATACTACTCGGTATGAAAAGTGAATATGGGAAAACTGCTGCAAAAAAACCTTCTCGCTCTATGAGCGCTTTACATTAGGTATAAATGTTGTTCATTTCTATCGTCAATACAACTAATATAAGCACTGAAAATCACAGTTACACGGTTGGTTGTCCCTCAAGATACCACTCACCTCATGATTACTTCCTGATATCTCTGTTTAGAACTTTGTAATAAAAAGAAGAATAACCTTCGTCTCAACTTTGTCGGACAGGCTGATAGCCTGAAAAATTAACCTAAACTTTCTTGGTCAGAACTAATTTTCGGACGTAGTGCAGTCATTTCATCAAGCAGTCGAGAGTATACAAAACGTCACGGTGAACTCAACCTATAATATGCCCATTTTATACATTGAAATCAAACATTTGTTTAGTCATGACAAAAAATTCAAATTTAGGGTATTTTCACTATGTCAATTCAACGTGCCATTTGCTAATGGGCTTTTTTTTTTCTCGAAGTAGATGTCAGTCTAGATTCCACAACTTTTTGAGTCATTCTACTCCGGTAAAAGATTGAAAGTCTTTGGTGTTTCAAATAGAAGTTAACAAAATGCAAAAAAACTATAGAAAGGATATTTTTTTTACAATAACTAAATTATATCTCGCACGCTGATTGGCTAATTGTTATTATCATTAAGAGGACAAACACACAAAATTTTTAATTTAATAATGCAAGACGCGGTCATTTGCCGAACGAATGCCGAACTTCGGTGTTTTGGCTTAGTTTAGTTTCGTAGAAGATTCACTTTCTGTTCTCTGAGAATAATAGCCAGAAAGTTCTGATGCAAGACTTGCATCACGTTTGGATTCTCTGCAAAAAGCTTAAGCAGAGGAAACTAAACAAGACACTTAGTTTCCAAAAGCGGGGACGACTTGCTAGAAATGGTACAATTTCAAAACTGCTATTTAGATAAGCTTTTAATGTTCGTAAAAAGTTAAAAAAGTAAGAAAACAATTCTGAAAGTCGACTAGTTTATTACAAATAAGCACATTTATAACGGTAGTTTTCTTTTGACAAGGACTGAGTGTTTTTCTGATCCTTTTTTCCGAAAGCAAAACAAACTTTTTGTACAAACTTTATGAAACTTTGTAAGTACCTGGTAAGTTGAATTTAAAACTTCGTGACTATAATACCCACCTTTCGGTTTGATTGTACACAGCTCATATAGCTGAATGGCATTCAGGACGACAAACAAGTCGAGAACTGAAGTAAACAACCAGCCGTACACGATTTCTGTTCGTACTGATCGGTTAACAACTCTTCTAAACTGCCAGGCTAGTTTGATCTACAGATAGTTTAACTGTACATTACTTCGATTTGTTCGTTTACTATAGCGGCTCCAAAATCTTTCCTTGGAATAATATTTAACCTTAGCCTGGGCTAGTAGTTTGCGACTTTATACAGCCCTAAAATACCTCCGTTTTTCTAGGCAATAAACATCGCTGATCTCATTCTTGTTTGAAGTTTGCAAAACAAATTTATGCAGGGCAGTGAGGTGACTCAACCTGTCAAGTTTTTAGCCAATAAAAAACCGTTACTTCTTATCAGTAGCCAATCAATAAATGAGAAAAGTTATTGACAATAACATTGCGCTAGTTTTAAAAAGTCAAATTTTCTTGTGTTGTCTTCATTTTTACCGGCAATATTTGACTTTTTCGAGCTTTTGTTATTGTATGCGGCTCGTGGATCCACAACACTTTGACAATGTTATGATGTCATTTTATCATCGATAAGAGGACAGACGATAAAAAACTGACGTCAATTTGTTAACTACAGTACAAGGAAACAATATGGTCATGTGACGTTGTATTTCGAACGGAGTTAGTTGCCCAGTTCCAACTGTTTGAGCCAGAACGCCTGGTAACTACTTTATAGCTTCAATTCGAGGCTTAAGGGAAAGGGCCTCCCTCAACTCTTTCGATTTTTCGAGTTAGAAGAATACTATAACAAAAAAAAGATCGTCTTTTGTCCTGGTGCTGATAAAGAGTTTGATTCTATGTATCTGCACATATGCTCTGAGCATTTTAAGATCAAACAAATCATAAAGACCTTGTCTGGAACTAAAAAGATAGCAAAAGGGACGGTCCCGACGATTTGCTAACCCCGAAATGAGTCCCTCGAAGCCCAACTGTCAAAGTGAAAAACGGATAAATTGCCAAAAAAAAAAAAGGAAAACATAAGATTTTAAGTTGGCATAACATTGTAATCGTCAAAAAAATACTACTTCAGCATTGAAAAATCATTGGTAAATTTACAAATGTTGGTATTTTTTGTAGGTAATTGGTAGATTAGAAAATTATTCCAACAATGGAGATGAA